TGATCGCCCCATCTCAAAAATGACACGTTGGAATTGGAAAAGGTGCAGAGAAGGGCAACAAGCTTCCATAGGAGGATGAAAAAGACTGGGCCCGTTCATCTTTGAAAAGAGATGACTAAAGTGGGATATGATAAAGGGCTGTAAAATCATGACTGGTGCGTGAATAAGGAAATGTTATTTACCATTGCCATGGGTCAGAACAATGGTCCATCTATCCCAGTATCCTATCTTCCAACAGTGATCAGTGCTAGATGCTTCAGCAGGAATGAACAGAAATGGGCAATTACTGAGTGATCCATCCCCTGTTGTCCAGTCCCAGGTTCTGGCAGTCAGAGGTTTAGAGACACCCAGAGCATGGGGTTGTGTCCCTGAACATCTTGGCTAAAAGCCATTAATGGGCCTGTTCCCCAGGAACTGATCTAATTCTTTTTTGAACCCAGTTATACTTTTAGCCTTCACAACATCCCATGGCAATGAGTTCCACAGGTTAACTGTGTGCTGTAAGAAGAAGTACTTCCTTTTGTTTTAAACCTGCTGCCTATTAAGTTCATCAGGTTCTTGTGTACAGGTAAATAACACTTCCTTATTCACACACCAGTGATGATTTTACAGCCCTTTATCATATCCTGCTCTTCTGTTCTTATGACATAAGTAGTGACATCTCTGTACCTTTCCTCAGCATATATTTTTGACAGGTTTCCAACTCCCCTTCCCCCATGATATTGTCCCAATTAGACTCCAGCATTAGATTGCACGTCCCTCTTTTTGGTCCAATGAGTTGGCTGTATGGTTCTGGAAGTCCCTCCTATCATGTCCTCCCTTTCCAGGACCCCTAGGGTTCCCTTCGAGCCATGTGTGCATTTACGGTGCCATGGGCCCTGTTGGGAAAAAACGAGATTTTAAAAAAATGTTAATTAATTCATCCTTCTGGAATCATTAAAAATAAATGACTAAATATAGATTTCATGCCTTTCGCTCATTTTAGAAAAAATATGCTTTTTATGCCATTACTACAATTCTAAATAAAGCTGATTCAATAATTGTTTGAAAGAGCTAGCAAAGTTCTCAATACATATGTGCAAGAGGTTTAATAACAAAGGAATAAATGTATCTATCCCCAGCCACCCCCTCTATCTATCTATCTATCCCCAGCCAGCCCCTCTATCTATCTATCTATCCCCAGCCAGCCCCTCTATCTATCT